CTGAGCCTATGTGAACCCATGGAGGCAACCAGGGGTCCCCGTCGAGAATCAGGACACCCTAGACCAGGAGGCCCGACTCCTTGCCAGCCAGGGCTTCCCCTCTTAATAAAAGCCTGCTGGGCTTCCCTGAAACCGCCCCGATCCCATGTGGGGCCTATTAGTGTTTTGGCCACACCTGTCCATGTGTGTTGTGTGTCCAGCGGGAAAACCCTACAGATGTCAGTAAGGTAACAGAGCCTGCAAGAGAACGTTGCTAAGACCTGCCTCTCTCCCAGCTTTACAGGAAGTGAGCTTTACTGCTGTCTCTAATTGGGACAAAAATGACCTCCCTTCGGAAAGTCGACAGCCCAATCAGGAAGGGAGAGAGAGCTCAACTGAGTGTCTTCAGGTACTTTATGGAAATCATTGTTCCCAACAGGCAAAATTTTAAATAATAATATGCAACAAAGAACATCTGACAAAGTAAGCCCCAAAAGCATTCATAACACAAAACTTTCATTGAGTCACATCACTTTAACAAGGAAAAAAGTCTATGGGTGGATAACTGTGGACTGTGCTGGCTTCATAATAGTTTCCCACAAACCAAAGAGAAAGCATAAAAAACAGACAAATTCATCACACCACAGGAGGACAGGAATTATAAAAGCCCAGACTGTACCTCATAGAATTTCTCAAAATCCTTGTAAGGAAGGCTCTGGCTGCATGAATTTCATTTTCTGCTGGCTTTTTCTGGCCTATGATATCCACAACTTCTTTCATATTCCCTTACAGCTAATTAATGAAGGAAATATACATTGAGTGAAACTGGAGGCAAAGGGCAGGGGGAGGATGCTGCGAAAAGGAAAAAATGCCTAACACTCTTGGCCACGCTCTTTTAGCCCAACCCCTGGAAAAGTGGGCTGCTAGCTAGGATTAGTGGGGCAGTTCTTCATGGGTAGAATGAAAGTCCTCCCAGAAAAAACTACCATTAGCAGCACATGTAAAAATACTAGCAAGATATTTTGTTCTCACAAAGCATGTGTGGTAGATTATGAGGAGTCCAGGGACCCTAAGATGCCGTGTCATGCAAGACCCCAAGCAAGCCACTAGAAAGGCCACGTAGAGAGCAACACCAGGCAGCCCCAGCTGCCACAGTCTCAGCCCACCCACCCAATACAGGAGGGAAAGAAGCCATTTGTGCATTATGTCCCCTGCAGAGGGGACATGGAGAGAGACTGAGGAATTCCGACAACAGCCAAGAACCAAGGCCTGAAACTTCTGGACGTCTCCAGCAGTTCAAGTCACCCCTGCAGAGGCTCCTGTCATTGTGGCCACAGTCCCCATGTAGTCACATGGCTTTGGTCCCAGACAGATGTGCTTCAATCCCAGGTGCGGCCCCTCCTGAGTCATGAGTTAGGAGATGAGACACTCATCTGCTTAGAGCACGGCTGGAATCTCCAGCCACAGTTATTTAAATTAATCAGCACAACACAGAATCCAAAGTTCAGTTTCTCAGTCACACTAGCCATGTGACAAAGGCTCAACAGCCACACGTGGCCAGTGGCTACTGTGCTGCCACCCTGTGTGGTAAGAACACACCCTGCACTCCTGCCTGCCTGCTAGCAGGTGACTATCCACACTGCCTCTTCTGCCACCTTCCTAAAATGTGGAGACAACCACCTTCTAGAGATCTGTAGATTTTTCATCTGAAAATATTAATAACCAGCCACAACACACACATGTGCTTCTTCCCATAGAGGTCAACTGCTTTGTGCTCATGCAATTTTACAACTAGAAATACTATTTTACACCAAGAATTTTGGGACAACTTTTCATGCAGCAGAGATCATCAGAATAGAGGGTATGGATTTTAATTCTGCTTCTGAAGATACCCATTAAGCATTTCCCTTCCTGAAGACACAAATTTTCAGTTTGCAGAACTGTTGCAAAGACACTGAATCACTCCCTGGGACCCATTCCTCAAATTCAAGCCTAAAAGGACCCACATCTTTAACTTAGTCAGTTACTACTACAGGGAGAGCAGCTTGGTGGTAATTAGCCCTAAACAAACAAATCCCTAACAAAACAAAAGTTTTATCCTACTATTGACCTCCTGCAGAAATAAGGATTAACTCAGTGCTGTAAATAAATCAGACTGTGACCACAGAAGCAATCTAGCAGATAAAAGGGCTAAGCAACCCCATTCCTGCACCAAAATGTTGTCTGCTAAAACGTGAAAACTCTGCTTTAAAATAAAATTGTAATAATAATTAATAGTAATGTTTCAGATTTCTTCTTTTACTTTAGAAGTTTATTCTACAAAATTTTACAAAATGTTGGCTTTGAGTATTTTGCAAATAAAGGTACATTTAGCTACAATTCCCCATTTTCCTCTATGTGTGGGGGGGCTTTAGTAAACTTCATTACATGTATTTTACCCTAATTGCAAAAAAAGCAAAACACGTTCTGTGTATCTGTGGTAGGTATGGGACAACACTATGGACGTGTCTATCAGGAGGACACAGATGTACACGTAGAGGTCAAAATGTAGGCCCAAGAAGGAGGAAAGAAAGATGGGAGAGTCAGAGGCTGATGGTGTGGAAGAGGGCTCCCCACACCACAGCAGCCACGGCAGGCGGCGACACAGCTAAGTGAGATATCCCACGTGTTTGTAACTCGCATCTCAGCTGGCTCACATCTTTGACAACTACCTGAAGATGATGGGCAATGCTCTAGCAGGCAATGAATAAATGAAAACAAACCCAGAAAATCCTTTAAAAAAAGGCAACACACAGATATATATGTTGATTTCAAGAAGGCCTAGTCAGCAGCTATGACACTAATTAAGGCTACTTTTAAAAAGAAACAGGCTCCGTGCCTGTGGCTCAAGGGGCTAAAGCTCCAGCCACATACACCTGACTTGGCAGGTTCGAATCCAGCCTGGGCCAACCAAACAACAATGATGGCTGCAACCAAAAAATAGCTGGGCGCTGTGGCAGGAGCCTGTAGTCCCAGCTACTTGGAAGGCAGAAGCAGGAACATCGCTTGAGCCCAGGAGTTGGAGGTTGCTGTGAGCTGTGATGCCACGGCATTCTACCCAGGGTGACAGCTTGAGGCTCTGTCTCAAAAAAACAGAATAAAATGAAAGAAAGAAATAAAAAATAAACAAATGAAGACACACGGCCAAAAGGGTTATACACGTTCTGCCATAACCAAAGACACAGTGGTTACTGGGAATGGTGAAAATGTTCTAAAACACATGTGCTTTTTTTTAAGTTCTCTGAATTTCCTGGTGCCTAATGAACATGCTTGGGAATCAAACTAGGGTCCGGCTGTTTTCTGTGTGTTTGCACCTCTGAAACGGCTGGGTTGTGTGGACCAGGAGGGGACGGAGGAGGGCACATCCAGTCCCGTAGGCTGGCTGCCCAAGCGCAGGTCAAGGGATCTGCGCATGACGCGCTCTGGCGCCACCTAGTGCCCACCCATGGTTATGGCCCCTCTGGCTCAGTTCCAGCACTGCCCCAGCCTCAAGGTGGGCCATAAAAGAGACTTCTTTTCACAAGGTCGTGGTATTTCCTCCTGCACAAGTTTTAAACCACCTGGTCCCCAGAACTGTGGGTGTGACAAGCAGGATGCAGATACAATTCTGTGCATTTTCTTCCATCTTGCAGGTGTGGTGGGCAGCTTTCTTTTCCAGGTACACCTGGTTTTGTGACTTTTCTCACACCGTTATTCCCCCCAAACATTAACTTTAATTAGTCCATAATATTCCTTTCATACATCTACCAAAATAATATAGTACGAACAACATTAGCAGTGGGTTTTCTGGTACTCCAGAAGAAACCATTCCTTCTAATGGAGGGGTCCCCTGAAATCCTTTCCCACTAATTATATACCAAACTTAACTCTTTATAAAATTCTTTTCCCTCACTCCCTGGAAAGGATAGGGTTTAGATCACAACTGTAAAAATTGCTGGGATGCCCTTGAACATCAAGAACCACACATTCTTCTTAGTAAACTATCTCAAGAATGAGGGGAAAAGTATCCAACATACTCAACAATAACATGAAACCAACAGATAAATAGCCACATGCCCACACAAAAGATAAAACACAAATACAGTCTTTCGAGGGCGAGGGGAGAGGCGGCAGAAGGTTGATTGGCAGAATCTGAACTAATGTGCACAATGTGAGGGTGTTCAGCAGCCCCCTGGGTGAACTGCTCAACTACAACTTGAACTTTACCTTAGAATTGAACGAAAATATTATTAATTAGAGATAGAGAAAAAAAAAAACAGAAAAAAACTCCAGAGATCAAATATTCTGTTTCATTTTCAAAAGAAATTAGGAGAACTGCATCAATAAAATCTTTATTATTCACAAAGAAGAAAATTCCTTCCCTCTCCTCAAAAAGGAAAAAAATCACGTGTTGGGTTACTTTCCTAACTTTTATGTGAGAAAGCAAAGTACCAAGCAAAGAAAGCTGGGAGCTGAGGGAGGGGGTTGGGAGGGAGGAGCCCTGGCCTGCAGGGAGCCCATGTCCCCAGTCTACACCCTGCTTGGACACTATGATCGGGAGGGCTGCAAAAGTGGGGGGCTGGAGGCTTTGAGCTTGGTCAGGGGTGCTGGGAAAATAACCACAGTAGACCCTCCATAGCTGACCAGCTCCTTACAATGACCACCTCCTTAAGCTGGACTAATTTTCATAGAACAGACATATACCACATATCAGTACAGTAGGCCTAGTTTCTTACAGCAACCACCTCTGTATGGTGACCAGTTTGTTACAGTCTCTTGGGTGGTCAACATTCCGATGTTCTAGTGGAATGCTGTCTAGGGTTTGAAAGAGCCCTAAGTGGGAAAGGCCTTGCAGATAAAGGGCCAGGCTTGGAAGTAACACATATACTCAGAGCTTTCTGATGTCAGACCTCAGAGTCTGGGGAGGGGCACAGAGGGCACATGCTTCAGAAACAGCTGGCGTGGGGGGCCAGGGGGATTTGCTTGGCAACTGAATCTTTAAACATCAAATGAAGACCCGGCTCTGACCCCATGCTTCCTTCTGTTTCCTGCTAGTCCTGCAGGAAGTCCTCTTCCTTTCCCAGTCTGTCTCTAGCTCCTGCCAGATTAATCTCCTGGCAACACAGCTCTGCCCAGATCTCCCCCTTGCTCCGGAACCATCAGCTCCCTGTCTCTGTGGAACCAGTTTCCACAGAAGGAAGGGTATGCTCCTAGGCTCTCATTGGCTAACCCAGGGGTTCTCAGAACATGCGCCCAAGGTCCGCAGCATCTGCATCACATGGGGTAGACGCAGACACCTCTCTCCAGGTGAGTCTGCACAACCTCTTCCCCAGTACTCCCTCAAGCCTCCATTTCTGCTGCAGCACCCCCCAATCCCCTCCCCAACCCCCCCACAGGATTTCCCGCTCTAGTTCCCAGCTTTGAAGAGCCTAGTAAGGCTGACACAGGTTCGCATCTGCATCTCAAGCCTGGCTCAGCTTCAAAGCACAGCTCCACTGCCCTATCCTCAGGAAAGACCTTCCTAGTTGGCTGCCAGCCCATCTTTCCTCTCTCTGAGTCACCACTTGTCCCAGTTCTAGCAGCCCACTCAGCAGTGCACTCCTGGAGGCAGGACCTAATGGGATGATCTGAACCCACTCGGCTGGAGTGCTTCTAACATACACTCAGTGTGTGGACAGAGAAAACATGAGCTGGGAGGCTAAGGCAGGAGAATTGCTTAAGCCCAAGAGTCTGAGGTTGCTTTGAGCCGTGGACACCATGGCACTCT